TTACTGAACAGCGCCGTCTAGTCAGAGATTTCGCCGGGTCACCGATTTCCGCACAGCTCGCGTGCTGCACTTCTCGCTGAAAGCACAGAACAGAAATGCAAACAAATGCTGATACACATCCACTGACCTACAGCTCGAACTGTGCGTTAATAAAAACTACATCTTTACAAGCGGCGCATTTCTTTGCGCCACCTGGCGGTGATTCTGCGAAAAAGATTCACCTGTACGTTAGTGTGCGCATCCTGGCTGCCGACCTGCTGCACATGAGGCTCGAGGAGAACATAAAATTAAGGATGTTATTAAAGCAAGGGACTATATATATATATATATATATATATATATATATATATATATATATATATATATATATATATATATATATATATATATGTAGAGAGAGAGATAGAAGGATGGATAGATAGATAGATTAGATATTAAAAACAAAGGCGCTATAACAGGAGGGTGTCTGTGGTGGGGTCTGGTGGCTTTGGGGTAAAAGCCTTGCCGCTGTACTCGACAGGTGCAGGTTTCAATCCAGCTTGTGCCTGTACTTGATATGTTATCTAATCTAATCTAATTATGGGCTTTTGTGATGTAAAAAATTAAACCATGATGGTCCATGATGTCGCTGGTTCAAGTCAGTGCAGGTTACTTAGCTATATGACGGTGACTTATATGAAGCTGAAAAGGTCTATAAAAGAAGTTACTTGCATGAGGTCCTGTAGCTCATATGGATGAGCGTTGCCTCTGGGTTGCGAGGTTGCTGGTTCGAACCCCAGCCAGGACTCCAGGTGAACATGGTGGGTTCAGTAATCAATGGCAGTGTGAGTGATGCGGAAGGTGTGTACTGGTGAGGGGGGGTAATATCCGGGCAGCTGCCCCCCCTGGGTCAGGGCTGGTGAAGAGAGGGGTTATGATGGTTGGCAAGAGAGTGTCGACTTAGTTTTTCCACAGTGGTCCCTCTATTATGCAAAACTAAGTCGACACTCTCTTGCCAACCATCATAACCCCTTTCTTCTCCAGCCCTGACCCCGGGGGGGGGGGGGGGGGGGGGG